ACCGGCCGCGGGCTTAGCCCTAGGGCTTCAGGCGAAAGCTCGCTTGGATTTAATGCCACGGTCGTGGATGTGAAGCGTGGATCTGATGACGTTCTGCTTGCATAAATAAAAAATAACGTGCGCTGCGTGCTGGGAAGGGCTCAGACGGGAGCTGAAGTCAGGCGGGAAGGACACCGCGATGCTGCGTTAACGCTGCGGCTTGTCTCCTTTTGTAAGGATGTGGAGATGTTACACCAAGCAATGAAAATGACAAAGTCTCCAGGTTCCTGAAGATGCCTTCGCTAGACAGACCTGTCAGGAGGAGTCGCTGTATATGGGACCAGTTCTGTAGATGAATACAACACACTAAGCACACACATTTTGCATATTCACAACACTCAGGGTACGCAGTACTTGCTGGGACACAGCGCTCACCTCCTGTAGTAAGACAGTGATTTCTACTTCATCACCTTAAGTTGACTTCTAGAATCCTTTTGCATCCAAAAGTTTACCCATGCAGTTAAAAAATGTTAATAATAAACTTTTCAATCTAAAACATTTCACCAAGATCACATGAGAGTGACAAATCATGGAATACTACAGGAAACTCATTCAAAGATAATGACTTAGTAGTTAGTAGAGTGGTATAATTTTATGTAGGTAGTGCTGTCTGATCTATTCAGATGGGTCACACACATCGGCTTTTTTCTATGTCAATTAAAATCCATTTCCAGGGCAAGTGCAGATGCTGTCATGATCTCTATGAGAAAGGGAAAAAAAAGAACATGGAAGAAATGAACTGACTCGAAGTTTCTTCAATAAGGGACTAGAGCAGGCACCTATCTCCACTATGCACACCTCAAATTTGTCTTGTGAGACATTTCTGGTCTTTGAAATATGTGCAACATGCACTGAAGGATACAATCACACTTAACAGAATTTCCCATGACATACAGATGAAGAATAATAAATGAGAAATGAATAAAACCACACATAAATTGGTAAAAAAAGTTTATTATTACAGTGCACACCATTGTAACCGGAAATAGCAAGTTAAGTAAACATACGCACACAAGCAGTTTGTTTTTAAACAGATTTTTGAAAATTATTTGTATTAAGCTTTACAAAAATGAATAACAATTTGTGGTTTTAAGACTTTATAAACAAACAAGAAAACCAGAGGTTTTTCTGGGTTATACCAGTGAAGTGTATATACAGGGAAAGTAAATGGGATTCATTGTAATTTAGAAATGGCATCAAAAGCCCTTTTCCTTATCTTACATTATGGACCATTTTTTAAGACACTAAAGAAGGGCAACTGAGAGACAAGCAACAAACGTTAAAGACATCAATGTGATGGTTCTCGGTTGTGCTTTAGTGCAGACAGATAAAAGATCCATGGCAAGCAAGCAG